ACACGGAATGACTTCTAATACAAAACGCTCAGCTTATATACAGTTACTGTTTATATACCGATCAAACATTTAGATCACTTACAATCCAGATCACAATTCATATCACTTAATAATACTTGATCACTAGATCATTTAGATCACTTACAATCCAGATCACAATTCATATCACTTAATCATACTTGATCACTAGATCATTTAGATCAGTTACAATTCATATCACTTAATAATACTTGATCACTAGATCATTTAGATCACTTACAATGAAGATCACAATTCATATCACTTAATAATACTTGATCACTAGATCATTTCGATCACTTACAATCCAGATCACAATTCATATCACTCAATGATACTTGATCACTAGATCATATCCTAACAATTACTATATAGTATTACTATATTTTCCGCCGCCCTATACGGCGCACTGCATTATCAGACGTATTCTGTCGTTTTTGAGAAGATTAAAGGTTTTTAAGTGCTTTTTAAGTTCGGAAAATCAGGTGATCAGTATTAAATTGTAATTGATCAGCAATAATATTGAATCTGCGAACGTAACCGACCGATATCATCTAATTTCGATAAGAAGGCGTTCTTCGCGTTCAACGCATCCAACTGATATATGGCTGCAGCACGATTCACACCCATTCCCGGAGAGTTCGCAACGTTCTTATTCATTAATCTCTTAAAGAATATTGCGGTTTTATCAATTTTACCTGGATTACCTGGACTGATGTGCAAATTAATAATAATAACAATTGATATTTTATCACTAAATATTTATTTATATACACAATTATTGTAACTGATAAAAATGTGCAAAATAAGTAAAAATTTTAAAATAATGATAAAGTTACCCGATCTAGAGACGCAATTTCGGGGGTCATTGGACGTTCTGCTGAAATTTGACGGAAGCTCTTTATAAGGGATAGTTATGAGGATAATAAGAAGCAATAATATTAATTATATATAATATTAATAATAATTATTAATAATATTCAACAGANTTACCCGATCTAGAGACGCAATTTCGGGGGTCATTGGACGTTCAGCTGAAATTTGACGGAAGCTCTTTATAAGGGATAGTTATGAGGATAATAAGAAGCAATAATATTAATTATATATAATATTAATAATAATTATTAATAATATTCAACAGAGTTTTAATAATACAGTATTTTACAGAATAATAATAAAAATAAAACCTTTTTGATGATTTGTAGGAATCGTTTCCACATTGCCTGTGCTCATTTCAGGTTTCGTCTCCTTTTCAGGAGCATTTGCAAAAGCACCCCGAGATCCCGGACGTCGAAATAATCCTTTAATAGTAATAATAATAATAATAATAATATAACAATAATAATAATAATAATAATAATATATAACAATAATAATTAAATATTAAACCTGATAACGGCCTTCTGATAGTATCCTTGACCTCGTGTGCCGTTTGTTCCTTATTGAATAACACCTTGATGGCAGTCGAAGGTGTATCCTTAAAGATACTGCCCAGTCGACCCTTCCTTCCTGCCTCTGCATCTCGCTCTTTTACACGTACATTCAACACTTGCTCTACGTCTGCAATTTTATTACTGTTATTACTATTACTGTTAATATTATTACTAGTAATATTATTATCATTATTATTATTTATTATTAATATGTTACTATTATAATGTATTATTTTTGTTTACATGCAATATTTATCAGTACGCACTGTCGTATAGCTGTATAAATAGTATTATTAT